CTTAATATTTAAAACATCAAATACCTGATTTTTGAACAATAAAACATTTACCCTGATTTTTGAACATGGAACTTGAAAGGTAAGGTTCCATGTAATTTCCCCTTACAAAAAAGAAATGAGAGATGAAAAGATTTATACTTGACTGGTTAAAAGTTGTCCACGTTTTAAAGATATAATATAATAATAGCATTCTGCACTAAACACGAATAGTGAAGATCAATATCTTGTAAGCCACTATTGTGAAGAAATTCGATCAGAAAGAACCTGCCTAGTCAGAAGTTGAAACCATAAACAGATGAAATATGAATTCAGAAACGGGGAAAAGGCCCCCTCCTACTTCGTGCCCATGCTATTGCAGCAACGGTAGCTCCACCCAAATGTGCAGATCCAGAAACTCGATGGTCTCCCTGAAAGAAAGGATGAAACTAGTTGCAATCTCACATCGTACATAACAAGAAATATAACAAAAACTAGGCACCAACAACAGTTTTAAGCCTGGTAAAGTTCATATAGGAGTAGGGGGGTAAAAACCAGGGAAGGGCTGCCAGCACTTCGAGAACCGCTAACAGGAAACTTCATTACAAGTTGAGTGACTATTGGTGTTTTTACCCCGCATGGGTCCAAAAAAACCGAAAGCATAAGAAACATACCTCCAATATCCTCAAGACGTCTTTTCCAATAAGAAAGATTCCCTAGAACAATAGACCAAAAATATGTAAAAATAACTTTCCAGATTAGCTTTATCCCGTAATTATGTTTTGAAAAAAAAGACCTACCAGTAAAATAGCTGGAACTGGTATAAAAAAGTCAAAATAGAGTGTCTTTGTAGGAAAAAGAAATATATCAAGCAGCATAATTGCATTCACAGCTCCACTTGCTCCCTGAATGCATCAGCAGAATCAGAACAACGACAAAATTAATTATTGTATTGATGCTTTGCCTGATTGAACTAAAGTTGAAAGGAAAAATACAAATTAAAAATGATCTATTTTAAAATTTTCATATCAATTTTATATATTTTATCTTCGTAAACTTGGCAATAAAATTTTTGTTGAAGCAATAAAATTCAATTTTGTTGCCTACATGCTTATATTTGTGCAACATAGTCTTCATGAGTATTCTGTCCAATCAACTGGACACTGCAGGTGATTTGCATGTACAGATAGTTATACAGAAGAACAAATAACCGAGTCAATGTCTCTTGATGAATTGCTCAGAACTGTTCAAGAATTAGACAATGCAATAGTATTATAGTATGTCACATCACAAGCAAGAAGAGACGTGGTTTATCTTTAACATCAGAAAGAGATGTTCTCATGTGGATGTCCAGTGCATCAGTGGATTATATGTTGAATAACTTGAAGGGATGTATGTCACTAAAGCTGTCACTATGATATACAATATCTCCACAGTATTATTATACGTTCTTAATCTTGAGAAAGTATTGAGCTAATGATTGTATTATTAGTTACTTTGGAATTTTTATTTTCTCCCTTGAGAAATATTAAGAGAAATAAAAATAGAGAACAATAACGATACCATTAAGATTTAAGTGGGAACTTCAAAAAACCGGAGAAACACCATGTGTCAATACAAGATGGTCTTTTATTTATCCACTGACTCAGAAATTGTTACAACCATACAGTATGTCTCTTCCCTAAAACCCAAGTACACACACCAAAAATACAGAAGATAATACAAACGAGCACAAAGGACTCGAGCTGAAATCCTTCACAAGTATTGTAGGTGATACTTCGAAGGATCTCCAAATATCACCCCAAATGACTGACCATCTCACAAGCTGTGGTGGATAAAACACAGGGGAGTCTCCTCTTTATAAGTGCACAACGGGAGGGGCTTTTGATTTCCCAAAAGACCATGACTATCTCACTCAATATAGATGGAAGGCCAAGACTGCCCAGTACTTGCAAGAAGTGCCTACCCTCTCAAGCCTGACACGGAAGAGGAGAATAGTACAGCCTCGAGGCGAAGAGTTCCTTTCTAAGCTCAGGGAAGAACACCTAGCTCAGTTTTCTAAACCTTCATTTGATATTTACAAAGATCATAGTTTGCACAAGCAACTGCTCCCTTGTTCAAACAGGTACAAGAACAAACTAAGTCTTATTCCACATAAATTTGGGGTTAGCTACGTGGATCCTGCTTTATCATCTGCTCAATTTATTTATAGATTTATTGAGAGTTCTAAAACTATTACATCCTTAGCAACTACTACAGGTAATGTTAATTTTAATCCGCCCATCCCCCTTTTTCTTGTTCTATGAAAATTGAGTCACTTTATGAACAACACCACCTAAGTTGGGCTTCCCTTAAATTATCCTCAATAAGCAACATCTCCACTGGTTAGGGTGTATTCTCATGTCTTATTTTACCAATTTTATCATATGATTGCACATCCATCTAAGTATCCGTAACATTCATCTTGTGGACATTTTGAACTTCAATTGTGCAGCACTCAAAACCATAGAGCCTTTATATTCAAAAAAAGAAGATAGGATAATAAGAACTTAAAAGGATAAATATATGCTGGTATAGTGAGTCTTAAACTGAAGCATTTTGTCTAACAGGTGAAATGATGTATAATTTAAATAAAATAGTGGATTGCACTTAGTCTTCTTTAATGGTACGGAGATTAATTATAGAAATTTCTAGTAGGTGGATGAGGATTACTGGATTTAGAATTTTCTATGGGAGACAGTTTATTCCGTAGGTTCCAACTGTTCCCACCTAAGCTATTTAGTTCAAAGTATGCAAGTATCATAGCTAAAAATAGCTTACCAAGTCTTATTTGGAGAAGGGACAGTGAAGGATTGGTCATTAAACACTATATAAGACCATAGTGCTTTATTTAGTAGAGAAGAATAAGGAGAAGAAAAAACACTGTCCCTACTTGTTGGCCACCTTCTGATGGAGATCCTTAGATATATTATATGGAAGGCTTTTCAAGTTGGGATACTTATTTTACGAAAAGCAATTTGGGTTTAGTTCAAAGATTTTCTATTATTTTATGTTACTTCGTTAGTTACTTTCCTATTTAAATTAGACTTTGTAAAACTCTATATAATGAGGGTTAGTACTTTGTTTTAATTAGACTTGAATATTGAATAAAATACAGTTTCTCTCTAATTTCTTTTTTCTCCTCTCATGTTCTCTCTATTTTTCCCGTCTTATAGTCTCCAATTTCTCTCATCTTCTTACACATTACTCTCTTCTTTAACAGATCTATTATTCAATACGTCTCTTTTTTTTCTATCTTCTAGATGAAAAGGAAATTCAGTATAGTTATTTAACTGCCTTTATATGAAACGAAGATAATATAAGAAGAGAAAAAAAAATGAGTAAGGGCAACCTTACCAATCCTGGAATTTTTGAAGGGTCAATAGACACCATACCCGGCATTCTTTTTCTCTGCAAATGCCAAACATAAGAACTGGTAATCAATCAGTAATGCAAGAAAACAGATGGTGGTTCAAATGGATGTAATTGTTGTTCATAAAAACAATAGGATAATAAGAGCCTAATAATGGACAAATATATTGTGCTTGTTATCCATTATAATGATTCATAATTTTTTCAAGAATATGAAAAGAATTCTAAGAGTCCAAAACCTAAACCGTGTATGAAAATATTGCTCTAGACTATAAACTGATGTCCAAAGTAGAATGAGACATGAGAGCTTAGTTAAACCAATCCTACAAATGTCACTATCCTTTGGATCTCGTGATTTGCGAGCACTTACATGTCATGTTTGTCCACTATTTTTAACGAAATGAACTTTCAGAAAAGATATTTGATGCCTTGATTAACTTTCAAATATAGAGTTACTTTACCTCAAGCGATGGAGCTATGAAGGCATGATATACCAGGTAAAAAGTTGAGCCAACAACAGCTCCAGATATATACAACTTCAGCAAATATTCAGGTCCAAAAGCTCTTCCAATCTGGCCAATAAAAATTGGATTTCACAGAAATTGCTAAGACAAGAATCATGATGACCATCCTATTGTAAATATTAAGTAATCGTTTCGTGAAAAACATATAGCACCACCAGTTGCACAATGGTGTAAGCATAGATGTAAAGGAGATCACCTCACAATCTACATATTGATGACCAGAATCTTCTCCTTTTGAGACTTAAAAAATTAAAGCAAATGGATTTTCAACTCCTAGTGCGATATTGTTCAGATGAATAGGATCTTACACTCATTCCGAAAAAATAAAGACCGATCATATTAGCCATAAGATGCCCCAAGTCTGCATGACTGAACGCGGAAGTTATCAATGTGTGGACCCGTCCGCTTGTAAAATTGTCTACGGATATCTGAGAAGAAAATGGTAAGATAGAAGCTAGAATTTATCTCGCGTGCAATACTGCCTAGTTCAAAATGCAGATTTTATAAACAACTTACCGTGAAATTCTTCATCATAAATTGAGTGTCAGCAACTCTCCATAATAGAAAGACAGCAACATTCGTTACAATCAAGCCTATAACAACTCCATCAGTGGTAAGCCTTTGAAACCATGATCTCCTACAAAATAAAGAGACAGATAGTGTTGTTATGCGTAAATATATATATATAGCAAAGAAGAGGAAAGTAAACCAAAAAGCTAGAGACTTTTGTGTCAAATTGTATTATATTCCATAAAACTTCAAAAAATAATTTAGCCGTGAGACCAAAGTTCCTTCTAATTTTATGATGGTGTATAAATTTGAAAGTGTCCCTATACTTGCCTTGATGTATTCAGTCAACTCGAGAGAGAGAGAGAGAGAGAGAGAGAGAGAGAGAGTACTTGAATATCACATATGAGGTATTCTACCATATGGGCATAATAATCTCTATCAGTACATGAATGTTATATCGTGTGAACTTTGAAGTCTCACGAACAAACGTTATAAAGTCAGTACCATCATAAAACAAAAGATACTGTATGATTTACACATTCATTAACATGCGCAAGTAATCATTAGTTTGTCCAATTTAGTAATTGGCAGAATATCCAACCTATCCATAACTCATTTTTCTCCAAAAGGTGAATTTATATTAACTTTCTAAACACCAATAATGAAATAGAAGCAAGAAGGACCAAAAAGAAATGTTCTCGCTACTTTTTTCCAGCTGATGAGAATTCACAGTTAAGTGCGTGCGTGCGTTCGTGCGAAAAAGATTAGAGATATTTAGTTCTGGTCCAAAATGCAGGAACTTTGGATAATATACGAAAAAATGACAAGGCATGAAACACAAAATTGAAGCAACTATAGTACAGTAAATGAAATCACCAAAGAATGATTCTGTACAGAGCTACCTCTGTCCACTTCCACCCCCAAAAGACCATTTTCTTCTAAGCAACCAACTAATCAACTACTTATGACAATATATAATATCCTACTTCAAATGTTGAAAGGAACCAAAATTATTTCAAAAATCAAAACTTCCTCTATATCTGAGTTTAAGTTTTCACAGAAGCCCAGATAACAACATTACGTAACAATGAACAAGTAACATTCCTTTTGGAAAACACGGAACTCGTATAGGAAAATAACTAAATAAGCGTGAAAACAGTGGATGTAAAAAGCGAAATACCAGCCATGGCGACGAGAATCAAATGAGTGGAAATTTCTCTTTGCGACATTAACAGGACATTTTCTTTGACCTTTCAAAAGGGTGTTCGAGAAAAATCGCTTAGCAAGAATTGGGTTTGAGGAAAAAACTCGATATCTGATTTTCTGTAAAACTGCATCAGCAGGATTTGATTTCAAGGAATGTTGCCCTGTAAGAGTAGTATACCGAGAAAAAGACTGATTATAAAGCTGGTGAGAAAATGGGTTTGTATTGGTTTTCAAAAATGATGAAAAAAAGGGTTGAGAGGAGATCGAATAGGCGTTTGGATTCGGGACATTTCTGGAGATTTTGGAGAGGAGCTTGATACAGAATTGTCTCTGCATTTTTTAAAATACAACTGCTGGGAAAAAGGGTTCAGGAGAAGAAGCTAAATTGTGTTCGGCCAGTCAGTTCCACCATTTCCATTTTAGTGCAAGACTTCTTGATTGTGTAACAAAACCCTAAATAATTTCCTGAATTGGAACCAAGAGGCAATTTGTTTTTATACTTCAAAGAAAACTTGAAAAATTGAAGACGGAGGAGGGATTGGGAAATGAAAAGTGAAATTCTTTGATTTTATTTCACGCATTTTGTAATCCCGATAACGAAAGAGTTAAATGTTTCATTATCCACTAAACTTTGGGTTATGTCACGACTTACTCATCGAACTTTCAAACTTTTCCCGTTGGTCACTGAACTTTGATCCGTTACTTCCCATTACTCACTGGTTCAAATCTGTTAATTAATGTGCTGACGTGGTTGACGATAAAATGATGTGGCAAGTTAAATCCTTGCAAGTGGTAAGTTTTCGCCAAATCAGCTTCCACATCAGCAAATGAGCATCCAAACAAGGCTTTAGCAATTAGGGAAGTCCATTTTCCCCAAATCATATGTCTCCAAATCAAATCCTTAATCGTGAGCGTGAATCAATTTTTCCCAAATCCATTTCTCCCAATTACATGTCCCCAAATCGAACCCTTAATTGTGAAATCAATTTCCCCCAAATCAAACCCTTAAACTGAAATCCATTTCACCCAAATTTCTCTGTTCTATAAGCTATGAACCCTAATCCTCCATTCTATGTCGCGAAGTCTGTGGGGATCAATATAGATGTGATTGATCTGTTGGGTATTGAAATTGGAGGATCTGAAAATAAGGCCAAATACTTCGTAGCCTTTGTTAAGCAAAAATTCGGTCAAGTAGGAGCCATCTTGGCCTGTAATGCCTGTGAGCAAGGCGATTTTGTGGGTTCCTCATCATTGGAGGGCGATCAAGTTCTTGATAGCTCGTGTTCTTTATCTGTGGTGAGTGATACTAGTAGCATATGTGGTGATGAACTATTGGGTTTCGAGATCAATTCTGAAACAGGAATACCAAATTTCGTAGATATTGATCCTATTGCAAAAACCAGAGATTTGGGAGAGCCAATTGTTAATGGGATTGTGGTTGATTCTCTATCTCTAGCTGTAGATGAAGGGAAAAATATTGTAGATGGTGCAAACTCAAAGTCTTCTACAGTTGTTGTTCAGTTGGAGAAAGGGTTAAGTGGAAGAGCGAGCCACAGCATTTTTGAGGTCGATTATGTACCTCTCTGGGGACTAACGTCTATTTGTGGCCAAAGAAGGAAAAGGAGATGAGAAAAGAAAGGGAAACAGAAGAAAGGAGCTCCATAAAATTTTTTTGCCTCTGTTATTTCTTGAGACAATGTTGACAGTAATTGTTTGCGGTGTAAGAAGTTCATTGTAATCGTGATGTGTCATTTGATCATGACCCTATATGTATTTATTAACAAGTTCGAACAATGTAGACTTGCACTTGTTTTTTGAAAGTTCGCTCTTTTTATTGTTTTTGAAACGTTAGATCAAACTCAGTTTTGAGCTGTGCATGGGTGTTATAATCGCAAGTGTTGATCAAAAAGCTTATTTTAATAATAATGTCAAAGACTCATGCATGCAAGTTATTGGAGATGGTGTCTCCTGGAATACAGTTATTATTAGATTTGTAATGACAAAATTCTGATATTGAACAATTGAGATGAGGCTGAGAAAAATATTCATTCAACCGTGTAAAAGAATTGTACAATAAAGGTTCTATAAATACAGAAAAATGGAATCATTTTTTAACTAACTTCCTAACAAATTTACATGAAGAATAAATGCAAAATTGAATCAATACAACTGTACAAAACCAATCCAACTAATTCTCTTCTAGATCCTTCTACTGTAGTTGCTCTGTCATTGGTCCTCGTTGGCTTTCTTACTGTTGGTAGTCCTCTAGCTGGTTTAGCTTATGCACATTTGATAGCTTCAATAGTTATCTGGAAAAAAATGGACTATCAAATGGACAAGCCACCCTAAACCATTCATTGATATCATTAAGCATCCATCCACATACGCCCAATTTGCATCCACCCACATTCATACAAAAGCAACATTACCCGAAAACAAAAACACCAAACTGCTGTGCATCTTTCACCAAATGTTGCTGCTAATTTCCAGAAACATTACCCAAAAACAAAAACACCTAATTGTTTCTTTCACTCTAACCCCACTTGCATACCTCCTCTCTTGGGCAAAAGAAGAACCACTATAGATCCTTACTTTTCAAGCAAGATTTATCTGCAAGGAAAAAGCGAAGTACACAAAACATAAAAATGTGTAGACAGGGCACAAAAGCATGTAGAGACAAAAACTATATCACTTCTATGGTGCCAAACAAAGACAATGTATCACTTATACTCATATTGACATATATGATGCTTGCAAATGGTGATAAAATTTGCTACTAGCTCTGGATTATGTAGAAGCATTTGAGAACATGTGTGCAACATAAATTTTAAAGTTGACTAGTGAAAATTGCTAGATAATGATTACAACAGCTACAAATAAACCAATTAAAAAAAAGGTAGTTGGGCGTTCCCATGGAGAGAACTTATATATGTTGACCTCTGTGGTAGCTTCAGAATGAAGCTTCTTTCCCATAACCTTCCGCTTAAGATAGTACATAACTAGTTCAACATCAGTTGGATGAAACCGAAATCCCGGAGGAAGTGAGATCCTACCCATCGTAGAATGACAATAGAATTCCCAGCCGTTGAACAACTTAAGAAAAATTTAACCTATAATATATTCGTACACCTTAATCTGTCCACACCAAACACTTCTCCACAAGAATAAAAAGCAGCTTGTGCCGAAGAACATGTATTATCTAGATTGAATAAGCAACCAAATGACTTGTTTCGGAATTACCTTCAGGTGAACATCCATGTGCATGCCTTCAGAATGGTCAACAATGGCTTGTTTGTTCACAAACTTCGCGACATAGAATGGAGGATTAAGGTTCATAGCTTATAGAACAGAGAAATTCGGGTGAAATGGATTTCAGCTTAAGGGTTTGATTTTGGGGAATTGATTTCACAATTAAGGGTTAGAATTGGGGATATGTAATTGGGAGAAATGGATTTGGGGAAAATTGATTCACGCTCACAATTAAGGATTTGATTTGGAGATATATGATTTGGGGAAAATGGACTTCCCTAATTGCTAAAGCCTTGTTTGGATGCTCATTTGCTGACGTGGAAGCTGATTTGGCGAAAACTTACCACTTGGAAGGATTTAACTTGCCACATCATTTTATCGTCAACCACGTCAGCACGTTAATTAACAGATTTGAGCCAGTGAGTAATGGGAAGTAACGGATCAAAGTTCAGTGACCAACGGGGAAAATTTGAAAGTTCGGTGAGTAAGTCGTGACATAACCTAAAGTTCAGTGGCTAATGAAACATTTAACTCTAACTTCGAGTTGATTCGAAATGAAAAGTGAAATTCTTTGATTTTATTTCATAGTAACGTGTCACTTGTAAATTTGTCATATAGCTCGTGATGGATCCCATTTTTAAACTTTTTTTTATTTTTTTAATTATACAATTTATAAAATTTAAATTTTTTATTTAATTTTCAGTTATATATTTTATCAACTTTCATTGAAATTTTGAATTTTAGTTAAACTAAACGAGGCATAGTGGGTTGATGTGTTTTATTTATATTTACTAAAAAGAAGCAACGTGACGAGGTGTCGAAAATTTTAGTCACGCAACATATATCTACTTTCTTTAATCGTTTACTTGTAATACAGAGGGTTGGCCATTTATTATTTGTTAATAAAAAGAGAGGAGTCGAGACATCAAATATGTAGTGACTCGACACTAAATTCACATTGATAATCTATGTTATTTTAAACTCTGTGTCTCGATAATTTTTTGACAATTCGATACATCATCCCTATTTAACAATTCAGAAACCTCAAAATATTTTGTGTTACCTTGACATGTTACCCTTGTAGGGCTGGACATTGGTCGGTTTGGTTCGGTTCAAAATTTCAGATATTTAATAAAAGGAATCGTCGAGTCCAAATATAATTATAGAACCGTTCGAGTTCAGTTTCGTTCGGTTCGGTTCCTTAACATAATTAAATTTTTTAACATTTACAACAATACTGTATTAATACAACTATTGACATGTTCATTCGTAACCTTTACAAATTAATGTAGTCAATTTAAAAACATATAAATAACAAGTTGTCCTATAAGATTAATTAAATGTATACAAATACCAAAAAGTAAATACTAATACTAAAATATCGGTGATCCATATCAATAATTCATTTGCTTAAAGCAGACTACATAAAAGAATGAAATATAAATTAAAAGTTATAAAAATAAAATATTTTTAAGTATTTGTAATACTTACCAACTATTTGATTTACTTATCAATTGCTTGACTTGTCATACTAAGAATCATACTAAGAAACTCTATGAGTATAATTGAAAAATCACAATTAACAAACACAAATAAACTAAAATTTGTTCAACTAAATTAGTTAATTTTCTAATTTGTTTTGAAAAAACTAAAATAATTTAATTAATTCAATATAAAGAATTTTAATAAGAAACTCTAGAAGTATAATTGAAAAAACACAATTAACAAACACAAATAAACTAAAATTTGTTCAACTAAATTAGTTAATTTTCTAATTTGTTTAGAAAAAATTAAAATAATTTAATTAATTCAATATAAAAAACTAAAAAAATTATTTATATTCGGTTCTTCGGTTCTGGTCTAGAACTGAGAATCGAACAAAACTCATCGATTCTTGATTCAGATATCCGTTCGGATATTTAACTTATGAAGAATCACTCAATTCGATTCGATTCAATTCAAGAGTTTTGTCCAACCCTATACACTTGTATATTCTCATATGTTGAGAAGAAGTTTTTATATCCTAAAATGGACCCTGAACCCTATATGTGACTTGGATAAACATGGATGTCAAGTGTGCCAAGTGACCCTTTGTCCAGGCCACATGTGGCCCTGGACAAGCAGAATTATATTTCTAAAAGAGTAATGTTATTCATCCCCAGTGGGGATGCAAACACAGTTTAGGTGACCTTAAATGAAAAATTAAATGAAATGTGAAATGAAATGACTTATTTAATTTCATCTATCATTTAATGCCACATAAACGTTATATAGATTGGAGATGCAACACCAGTAGGGATGAATAACATTGCTCTTTCTAAAATTGTTCTTTAAAAAGCATTTTCTAATTAATAATCGTGAAGTAGAAAAATTTGTAACAATAGTCCTCGACCACGATTTCGTTTTTCAATTGTCAAAAATGCAAATTTTTGTTAAATAAACTACTTTAGATAGGTAGTGACTAACCGTTGACCATATTGCAAAGTGTAATTGAGAATTTGGCACGAAACGTTTCTATCATTTTCCACCCTTACTTGAATCATCTCATCATTTCAATTTTGACATTTCACCCTAAGGTCAAAATTTACTTGCACAAATCATCTCTACTGTTAGATTTCGTCCATTAAATAGGCGGATGCACTCCACTCAGCTCATTTAGTAAGAGTTATTTGGTCCAACCGTTATAGTTAACATCGGTGATGTGTCATATAAATACACTGATGAATAAATTTATGATGAACCTCAATATTTGAATTAAATTTAAAATTCATTAACAAATTTATATGGCACGTCACCGATGCTTAATATCACCGATGCTTAACATAAAATGAGCATCGGTACTCATTAGATCATTTGTGTGTGTGTGTGTGTGTGTGTATATATATATAGAGAGAGAGAGAGAGAGAGAGAGAGAGAGAGAGAGAACGGGTGGTTTAGTTTATCCAAGCACGATTTTTTTGACTCTAATCGGGAACAAGGCGTGCTAATTAAATAAAGTTGAGATTTAAATACAACAAAGTATAGATATAAGTGTAAAAATGAGCAAAAGTTAAGAACCTTTATCCAAAAATTATTCCAACGGCTAGATTTTGCTACATATTCTGGCCCATGAGGAGAACAAATAACTAGCTGGTACCAAAAAGTACAAACCAGAGAAAGAACAACGAACCAAACAAATACTTTTAAGAGTGGTCTTGCAACATATACAACATTGTAGTGTCATCTGTCATGAGATATCACAGTTTTAGACTACAGCAGATAATCTGTCTGCTGCACGCAATGGCTGAAATTCGAATTTCTAGAGAGAGAAAATTGCTCATATCTACAATGATTGAATATCCTCTACCATTATACATGGAAAACACCATGATTAAGAAGAAACAAAGCCAAGTTTCATATCAAACACTGAAGATTTGGAAGGAATCAACCACAGTTTTCAATCTGTCTTTCATCTTCTCCCATCTCCTTTCATTAGCTCCCGTTGTCAAAGTGTAGAACTTTCCTGCAAATAGACATTTAACCCTGTGTTAAAAAGCACGTCAGCTCATTTTACTTTTGCCTCAACATCTGAACAAGGACACATGAACCTCCTAAGCATTCTAACCCCCTGATCATTCATCTAAAAGCTTAAATTATAAGAAAAGAGAAAAAAATATTAAATTTAGTCTTAAACACGTCTTCTGGCGTACATTGATTTCTTTATCAAGCCCTAACACGATGGTGGCAATGATACTTGAACCCGAGGACTTTGCCTATTGTGATATTATGTTGAACTACCTCATCTAAAAACTTAAACTGTCATAGGAACATATTTATTTATTTAAATTTAGTTTTCAACATAGACGAAGAAAAAGTCAGTTCTTGTTTTGGTAAACAAGTTTGGTAAAGAAAGTTGCTTAAAAGAGACTTTAAACCTTAGACTTGTTTGGTTGAGCTTAAAAGTTACTTTTAAATACTTATTCTTTTTTTTAAGTCAAACAAGACGCAAAAGCAAGAGTGTACATGAAATATTGTCCAACCACAGTGAGTTCCATACCATTGCCAATACAGATTGTACTAAGAGCATGTCGAGTATAGTTTGGAGCTTTTGCAACGAACTCGAATGTGTAATATGCTCTTCCATCAACATCATGCTGAAGGACGATAAGAGAGAAGAAGTCCATTAAACTCACATTCAAAAACACATTGCAACTTGCAAGCATACCCTTTAGCTCGAAAATAATGTGGGAAATTGAAAAGCATCCACAAGGTAAGCATAGGGTGAGCATGTTTGCTAAACTTCAAAAACTAAATAAATAATTTTTTTACTTACGATTACTTTCAAAAAGAGTAACCCATCTTTAGAAAATTAAAATTTTAACATAATTTTAAGGGTAGACTAAGCTTAAAAAGTTTACTTCTAAGCGACAGAGTAAGTTCTAAAATATGTGACTTTTTTATTGATTAAAATTTCATCAAGTTACTTATTTTGGTAGTTACTTGGGAGTTACTTGCCAACTAAATAACTTCATGACACTTAAAAAGTAACTTTTACTTTTAAGCTTAGTGAGACATGCTCATAACAAAGAAAGTGATGGTTTCTGTAAATTGGTTGAGTTGAACTGTACTCCTTGAACGACACTGACAAAAGCAAAATGAGTTAAGAAGTAAATATGATGGGTAATCATATCATTAAGTAAGATGGATCAAAGAACTTTTAAGATCAGATGGCAAGCCGATCAACAAACTGAGGGTTGAGTCTTAAAGGTTCCAACAAGAATATCAGAAAAATTATAATAAAATCACTTCCGATTAATCAAACAGGAGGACGTAACAGCGAAGAACAGTGAAGAAGTTGATAGTAGTAATGCAAATAAATCCCGTAAACTTGCATGACTGAAACAAAAGAAACATTCAACCATTGTAAATGTCATCTAATTGAAAGATATTGAAGTTCTCTTGTTCTTCAGAAACACCCAACTATAATACAAAAACCTCTCTCTCTCTCTTTTCGAATATTACAGACCTCCCCTTCCATTGGTTCTGCCCCTTTTACAGCTTTTTAGGCTTTTTTGAGGAAAAAAAGTAATTCATAAACTGCTCCTACAAAAAGAACAAAAACCTCTCTCTCTCTTTTCGAATATTACAGACCTCACCTTCCATTGGTTTTGCCCCTTTTACAGTTTTCAACGCATTTTTGAGGAAAAAAAGTAATTCATAAACTGCTCCTACAAAAAGAACAAAACACTAAAATGGTCTCAAATTTTCATCTTCCTAGCGTGGGCCCACCCCATGCAGCCCCTTCGCACACTACACAATCAACTCCCTCCCCCATGGCCAGATGATAAAATGTCAAATTTAGGATTGAGAAAAGGGATGCACTGTGATTTCGAAAACTTGCTTCTATCCTTCTTAATTGTAATTGCTTTAACGGGGAATGCTCCTTCTTTGCTTTCTTTCTACTTTTCACTCATTAAACAACTTTCTATATTAGTTTGGATAAGTAATTCAAGAAACAAAATTTACCAACCAATTTAATGAAAATAAACAAGGAGAATTTTCACAATGTTGGAGGGGTGTGGAATGGAAGGGGGGAAATGAAATTTAAGAATTTTTAATTATTTTATAATGGCAGTTTAGGTTATACTTAGAGAGGAGATCATTTCTCATTAAACATATTCTTTAAAAAGGATTACAAACTGTAAAAGTGGAATATACTGTTGGATACAAGCTCAGGAGTATATGTAATTGTCTCCTTAAAAAAATGTGAGTAATTTATAACAGAACAAGCATTCTACTTAAGTTAAACACCAGAATAAAAAGACAACTAGAAAAATCTTACCTCTGATGCTTCAATAAGCTTTGTCTTTTGAGAAGGAGAAGCCAAGACCTTTTTTATTAGAGTTTCTGCAATCTAGAACCAAAACGTCACATCATAAACCACCATAGACAACAGAAAATCAGAAAGAATGCATAAGAAAAATGAGTGAGAAAGAAATAGAATAGAATATGTTCCTTTTGCCATAAACACTGATGAAAATCATAGTAAACAGTAGTTTGCAAACCTGTTGTGGGGGTCCAAAATCACGGATATCGGTTTTGCTTGTTGGCAACAAATTCACACTAACACTTTCTAAAGGTTCAATAACATCTTTGAAGACCTTGTCTTGACCTTCAACAACTACCTCCTGGACAAGAAATAATAATAAAACATCAGTTGTAATTAAAGAAGGAATAGCTCATATTGATGAGCACCAATGTGGCTTAAGGTGCAAAATGAACTATGGAACCTAAGCTATTAGATAGTGAATACAATTATTTATTTAAATTTAGTCTTCAATACGTCCAGTCACTTGTAGACCAGAAATTTTGAAGGCCTAACACGTGCACAATTGTTATAAATGGGTGGTGGTGAAACATGAACTACAAAGTTGAATTACTTCGTTTAAAAGCTTAAATTGTTATAGAGGGAACATGTTAAAATATTTAATTTTAGTCTTCAACATAAATTAAAACATCTGAAACAAAGCAAATGCAGTAAATTAAAAGTTATGAGACACACCTGCCACCCAAAGGGATACACAAAAGTATATCCATCCTTCTTATCTGTGACAGACAGAAATCCTTTCTTTGTTTCTGCAGCAACTGAACCATATCAACAATATATTCTTAGCAATCAGCCATAATTGTTCCATGAATCAAAGGGATAAAAAGATAGCACCATTTATCTTCCCTAACCCCAAGGAAAAAGAAGACAATTTATAATAGAGAGAGAACCCACCCCTAAGACAAATATACAGAAACATAAGAGAACGTGAAGAGGGGGGAATAAAGTTTTCATAATTGATGGACTGAAAATCCAATAAAGAAATTCTAAAGATGATAACGTACACGATGTTGTATGGCGGGACAACAAGAACCATGGGGCAATCGTTACCCCAGCAGCAAGCAGCTGGCGTCTACCAAGGCTATCTGTCATAAACAAGGGAGAAGCAAATCTATAATCCAACTTAACAAAGCAGAAAGCTCAGTAAAAGAGAAGAAGTCGGATATGCAAACACGTGTAAAGGCACGTACAAAGCGAGGGAGGAGAGTACCCTAAGCAAAAAAGCGTTTTTTAAATATAAGAATCCACCTGTGCCTAGATGATGGGAAGCAATATAAAGCATTATCGAATAATTTTCCATTCAACTCATGCATTGCAGGAGTAAATCCTCCAAGTAATAAAGACTTGTTGACAGAATTTCGGTGCTGGACACAAACTTGGAGTCATAATATGTATACATATGATAAACATCTGGGAGAAAATAACCAATACTTATACCAGTGGGAATGGTGCAATTGTTTGATAGACACTGCAGAAACTCAAACCAGCAAATGCGGATGTCTTTCCTGTTTAATTCTTATCTTGATAGAATATGCAAATTAGTAGCCAAGCTTTTTAGGATGTAGTTTCTTATGTTCAACAGTGTTACCACAATTCATTATCTACCAACATTAGGAATAAAACTTAGTTGTTTGTTGTTGTAATGCAATAAAATAAGGGCTTTTTTGTATGCAGCAATGGACAACAAAGAAAATTTGAAGGTCTTTTTCTTGAAGCATATTCATTACTGTTCAATCTAATAAGTTATACAAAAGCAAACCAGAATGAACATAGCAACTCGGGTTAAGTTTATGCAACCAAGGTGCTAAGTTAGATTAATTAAGATCTTCATGTTCATCATCCTAAAAATCTAGTCAATTGGGAAAAGCATATGCAGAGTCCCACATACCTTGGCAAGGAGAATTTGAAGCTGAAGGAACTTGTTCCGACCTCACATAAAAGATAATGTTTCTTCGGAACTGTCCATGCCTATACAGACCTAGCTGATGCATAAAGTTACTTCTATAAATACAAAAACAATGAAACATGTCATCTACAATCAAAATACAGAGATAGAATGAGGACTACAACCTGAGTGGACGCATTTGGAAACAGCGTGTGATTGATTGATGTTGAGTTAAGCAAAGGCACCATTTCTGTTTTAAGCTATGAAGACATTAAGTATATGATCAACAACTGAGAAATTAAAATTTAAGCATGCATATAATAATCTTATAAGTAGCAAAATGGCAATATTCAGTCAGTTGATAGAAATTATGGATAAGATTAGTACTTATGGATTTCATCTTAAAGATTCAACATTGTTAAGAGGAGTAACCCAACTCTTCATATGTTGATTCTATTTGACATGATGTGGTTTGCAAGATAGTGGCTCATTTGAGAACGCCAATTTTAGAATATGAATGATTGTTTAAGCTTTTAAACAGATCGAATTGTTGTTAACTGAGGAATAGACTTCTTCGTCGTGTCGCTTTGGGGTAGGGCCTGTTCCTGGGAGGACCCCTCTCCCAATTTGAATTTTTTCTTCGTCAATTTATACATTATGTTAGTAAATCAAGCTTGAACTTGTATACTTGGCTAGTTCGCTTAAAGAGTTCATAAGCTTTTCCGAGAAAATTTCACATTTTTAAATCTTGATTCTAGAATTTTCAGTGCAATCTTCTTGAGTTTTGTTTACATGAATTGCAGACAAGATGAATGAATACAAATTTAAGGAGTTTAACTTGAATATGAGCTTAGCCTTGGTTCATATAACATAGCAAGCTGAACACATGAACTTGAGCAATCCCAAGTTAAATTGAGGATTTAAGTTTGAGCTACCTTATTGGGGCAGTTAACAAACATGAAGAAGTTCATTCTCCAGCTCTGCTGATAACCAATAAACGAACAACACCTGTACGGTCTAGTTTAGCTCATTTATGGACCTACATAACTAAGGTAGTAGCAGAAGTGGGATTTTAGATTTTTCGGGGAGAGGGAATAAGGACTCACGTAATTCCTCCTTATCAGCACTCTGATTCCTTTTAAGAGATGGAAAACTCAAAGTTTAACGTAAAATGAAATCTTTAAAAAACTAATGGTAACTTATCAAGGTTTTTTAAAGTCATGGACATGCACAGATGTCTCTAAGATAAGAGGCAAGATGGGATTCATGTTATTTGCCAAAATAGTTGGAACTAGTATTTTAGTCATATTACATTGGCCTTCGGATCAGAACTGTGATTAATAGACAGTCGCGGGAATTTGCATTTCAGTGAAATTCTTGGATTTGTGAAAGACACACACACGTGCAAAAAAGCATGAACTAAGAATGTTTCCATTAATCAAGAACAAAAATTAGGAATCACATACGATTTGATACCCTCCAATTCTCAACCATAAACGAAGCCAGTCACTTCAATATTAGTTAAGAGTCCGTATCTCTATGCTTAAAATGAAAAGGGTTGGGCTTCTTTGCAAGCATTAACTCACACGAAATTCGTTCTTTGGTACTCAGTATTGCACCGAATAACAAACTCTTTCTTTTTTGTTCCTTTCCAGCTAAAATCCAGTGTGCCAAACTTACCACCAAGGTGTATAATTATTGGAAGAATTTGAGTTTTCCTACTCCAGTCAACTCTAACCAACCAAAAGTTAAACTAAGAACTGGACTGAAGCACATTTGCATTTAGAGCTTGTTTAGCTAAGATTAAAATAAGTAAAAGTTCCTTCAAACAAACTTCTTGTTCCCGAATACGTAACCCATTAAAATGACTTACTTTATTTTAAAAATTACTTGTTATTTACTTATAAGTAAACTTTTTAAGCGCACAATGCCCGACGAAAAGAGCAATAGCAGAGTCGAAACACGGAATGCAACCCCATTTCTGTAACAAAGAAAATGTATAACTAGTCATGTCCATTATAATAACAAATTTACCTTTCAGTAAAACTCCGTTTTGGGTCGCCGGAATTCTGTCTTTCCCGGCAAAGTCAGAGCTGTCAGTCACCGCCACGTGTCTAAATGAAAAGGTACCGCTTGGTTCTTCCTCTATCTATCTTCACACCCAATCTGAAATCTCCCTCCCTAACTCTGTACCACCCGATATACATCATGATATGAAATCATCATTATACCCCCCATGCGACGAAAAGAAGTTTTTTTTTCCTAAATACCCATTTTCGTCTTTTCAATTTCTAATACCCACCACATTGTACCCATTATTCTAAAAATACATTTTTCACTCTTTTATTTTCAATCAAATAATATTACACGTAAATTCAAAATTTTTTCCTTATTTTTTAACCACATTTTCCATCAAAATACCATTTAAAATGCATTATTGGGAGAATAATGTGGCTCAAACATGGTGTAAATAAAAGAAGTTGATCATAGTTTAACCCATGTTTGATGCCCATTATTTCAAGAAAATAAGTTTTGTAATAGTAAATTGTTGGAAAATGTGTGGTTAAAAAATAAGAAAAAATTTCAAATTTACATTCAAAATATTTTATTTTGACAATGTGTGATAAAAAAGAATTTTAAAATAATGAAAATCAAACCAAGCCTAACATCATCGTACATATTGAAGGTTTCAAAATAAAACTAACACTTGGAATTAACTCGAGAATTACTTCACCCCTATTTTTTCCAAACTCAATTTTTAATCATACATTTTATACGACCTACAATTTTAATCAACTTCTATAAAAATGTGCTAATTTTTTTTTTTTTTTTAACTAAACCAAACAAGAGCTTCATTTTCATATCCGCATTCAAGAAAGATAACCCGAATCTCGAAAAAAAATTAAGACAGCTTATAGGGTCCAAGTCAAATTCATTAAATTCATGATGCGCACACAAATTTAGGGCGTGTTCGGTAGATATTAAAATTGGATTAAAATTAAAAAATTAACCATTATTGTTGATTTTTATTAAACAGGTGGGACCCAATAACAGCCATATTTTCAATTTTAATTAGATTTTAAGCTGTACCGAACAGGACCTTACTTTAAAAGACAGAAATCTTATGACTGGTAAGAAATTCTGTAAATTTGGTTCATTTACTGGCTGGGATGAAGAACCAGTAAAATATATGTAATTTTGTGGGCTTTCCATGGTTGTCTGTAGGACGCAAGCCCCTTTCGTCGTGCATACGGTGCATTATTGATATGCACTAGTTTATAGCGTCACATAGTACAATAAATGAAATTTTAACTTGTTTTCGTCCTTGATACTATCCAATGCAGTCCAATCCAACTTGCCGAAGATGCCACCGATGCTTTCACAATGTATCTAATTTGCTTCCTTCCAGAACCTTACTGACCGGTCCGTTCCACACATAACAAATACTGCATCTACGGGTGAATGTTCGAGCCCACGAGGTGAAACAATATGGTTGAAGGCCCATCTAGCCACTTCCTCTGTCGTGAGAGCATCCCAGATAACAATCTGCAGTCCCCAGAAAAAGTTGGCACTAACATCGGACCTGACTAAAATTGAAGTAGCTATAAAGGGTATAGAAATATTTCCACGTTCTGTAAGTTTGAAGCATTTTCCAGATTTTGTTCGACTATTTTCCTAATATTTTGATTCCTTATTTAATTTACAATCTAATTGTGACACAAGAAAAAGGGTATTTCTTAGACAATTTATTGTAGTATTCTACATCTCATGTTGTTTATAGTTTATATCAGTAATAGACCGACCTCATTGCTTGGTTCATCAATCGATAGCACAAATTTCTTCCGTGTCACTGAAAACAGCCTGCAGTTCAAACATTGGGAGTCGATTAATTTAAACTTATTTAAAAGAAATTACATCACAAAACTCTTCACGAGACACCATACACGTCAACCATTTATCAGTAAGTTGACAAGAATGCCTCACATCATTGGATATTTTCGTTTCAAAGGCCGAAATAGGTATCAGCCTTTGTCATGCACAGCACTGTATACAAAGAAAAAATTGTATTTACTCAAAACTGTTTTTAAGTATAGCAAACTGCCTGTTAATAACTAGCGGCAAAAGAACTCCATGTCCTTGGTAGGGTTCCAACTGTGAAAAGGACCGAATTCAATTAGAACTAAGAGAATAGCTTTGTATTGCTGGAATTTGAAGTACGGCAAGAAAGAAAGATAACAAGTAGTCATTCAAGAGGACTACAACTCTCCTAAGCCTCCCTTTAACTCAATTGCCTGCCTTAATGATCCCTCTCTCCTAATTTCTATCTTCTAACTTCCTTTGTTTCCAACAGATTGTTGTTGCCTTTTAACAGATCTTGGCTGCCGTCTAACTGCTTCCAGATGTTTCTCCAATCTACATTACCCTTCAAGAATATGTACAACGGATGGGGGCTTATCATTACCCCCGGTTCCAATGAAACCTTGACCTCGAGGTGGAAATTCTTCAGATGCAGGTAGATCTCTTCATTGTATCAATACTTGATGACCAGCTCGTGGTTGTAGAGCTAGACCATCTTTAGGGAACCTACTACCACCAGCTACGGAAGCTAGACGCGTTGCCTCATTCAAACTATGAAGAGTATTGATTGGTTTAAGTAATATCCCATTCTTGGCAGCAATATGACACAAGTCATTACTGGAGGTGGACCCCTGAAACTTGATAATATGCCACGGGTCACCAATAGCAGTCTGAACCATTTCCCTGTTTATCATCTCTGCAAATTCAGCCGTTAGAAAGTCCAATACATTTGTTTTCTTGTCACCAGGTGCGTGTAAGGGAGTTAGTATAGTTTCATGTTTCTCCAATCCAGTAAGATAATGTACATACTCAAGCTGACATGAGAAATAGTGCGATGGAGGCTTCTCATCCAACAAACTGAGAAGGGATCGAACACTCTCTTTCTGAGTAGCAATAACTGAAGAAAAAAATATTGGGGGCCTATCTATCGATTTTGTACTTTGGCATTTGAACCTCTTTGCTTTTTCAGTTCAACTTCAGCTCAAGACTCGCTCTTTGACATAGCCTTGGTTCCTTTTTCCAAATCTGCAGAATCTGGTAATTTTGAAGTCCCCAAAAGCCTATATATTAGCAATTCCAGATTTTGAAATATCATACAAGTTAAAAATTTCATTTGCAAACATCCCAATCACGATTGAAGTGAAAATCGAGTCTCTCTTGGTCCGAGGAATTTGGCAGGTGTGTTTGGCGGATCCACTACCATTAGTATAGTGTCCATTAAAACCCCATAACCTGTTGCACCAACCCACAAAACTTCAGCGTGCTGAAGTCAAGTAGACCGGAATAAATGCGAGGATCGCCCCACCATTGAACAGCAAAACTTCTGGCTGGTCTATTCCACCCTTCACTTTTATTGTCTTAGGGGCAGTCAAGCCTACAATGGAATTCAAGGAAAGTTCCACCGTGTCTCCAATTCTGACCGATTCCTCTATATTGTCATTATTCCCGATTACAACTCCTAGTTTTGTGTCCTCTTTCCCAATTGCCGGGTCATGCAACTCGGCCACAGAAGGTTGATGGTTGGTGGTTGGGAATTTGGGAAGTAATTGTATTGGCCATCTTCCTTTCTTTATTCAGGCCCATTTCACCTAGGGCTTGCTTAAGGGAAACGCTGCAGTCTAGTTGTAGGGCCATCTCCATACCATAGCCCAACCTTACTAGCTTCCGACGATGGCAATGGCAATGGAGACACAAGCACCTGACATCGCTTTTCTTCCACAGTTTTCTCCAAGTCCACCACCTCCCAGCTCTGATTCATGGAATCCTGTATGGCTAGTGTTGGAATCTCAGAGCTCTGCCTGTGATGTTTCTCGAATTCCTATGATGCAGAAACATTAGCTTCCTGGGATGAATGAAATCTGTCAATCATCAAACCCTTATATTCTTCCCAAGTTCAAACTGCCCGGAGTCTATCTACCGACTGAACCACTCCCCTGCGTTATCACCAAAACACGCAGTTGCCGCTTCTATCTTCTCCGCTTCCAACAACCGATTTCCAGAAAAAATCATCTCCGCCTAGGACAACCACCAATTTGTATTTTCACCTTAGAATATTGATATTTTTAGTCGACCTGGTGAATCCAGTCCACAATCTTTTCCTTTGTTGAAATCACGCATCACCCGTAAGAATTTCTCAAGATTTTCCATGAATGTCTCCATTTTCTTCTCTAATTCTTTGTTCCAATCTGTTGCCATTGCCTAGCATCGACGCTCTGATACCAATTGGTAGGTGGGTTCTAACTGTAAAAAGGACCGCATTCAATTGGAACTAAGAGAATAGCTTTGTATTGATGGAATTTGAAGTACAGCAAGAAAGAAAGATAAC